TTGACAGTGTCTTTGGTTTTGTCGCAAATGAAAGGCGACACACATTTCGACTGCAATATATGGGACTTCTTTGTGGTGATCGTCCACTGATCCGTGTATTGGAACCGCTCTTCGTGTATGTTATTGCAATCGGAGGACTCGATGGCCGCCGACATTGTCTCAGTGTATGTGATAGAGAGTGTGTGTGCGGTGTCTTCGGTGGATGTGTTGGTGACCTAATGACCGATTGGTTTGCTTTCCCGACGGCTAGTGTTGGCCACAAATACTAGTGTTTTGTTTTTGGGAAGTGTTTATTGTGTGGGTTTTTGTCAACACTTTGTATAACTTTGTGCCAAAAGGGCGTAACTTTAGCCATACCTGCGTTACTATATACGCCCTTTTTGTGTAAATCACTTGAATGTAGTTTGTAGTGGAGGTACAGTTGAACCTCCATTAAGGAAACCGATGTGAAAACAGGTATTTAAGTTACGTAAGTTAACAATGTTACATGTTTGTCAAAATTTTATTTAAAATAGCAATTGTTAATTTATTAAATATTCATCTTATCATGGTAATTTCAAGCAATCTGTTCTAATTAAATTGTTATAATTCATATTATTATTAATAAGCATTATAACTTAATTAATATTAAATATATATATCAATTTAACTAACTTAATTCATGTGTATAGTATTTTAACTATTAAATTTATAACCAATAATAATTAAAATTGAATGAAATATGTGTAAAATTTTATAATAATTGTCGTATGAAATAAAATTTCAACATTTTAAACCTATGTCTTAGTCTTTGAGCCAATCATTTCAACACAAATTCATAGAGAAAAAGCACTTTTAATTGATTTAATGCTTTGCATATAGATTTTGGTTATATTTACAGTTAATTTAAATCAATTAGTAATTTATAATACAATACAATACCCGTTATAACTATAACTATATGGTCGGGCGAACCATACGAGTGACTACAAGTTACTATATTTATTGTGTTTTTGTAATACAATAAACGCATAAATTTCCTAAACATTAAATCTATAATTTAAGACAAAAACTAATTAAAATTACAAATAAAACTACAATTAAGTGTTATTTTGGGCTATTTTTCAACGCTTTTTGAAAGCAATCCTTCAGTCGCTTAAACTCTTGAAGGCAGACATCTTTGCGGACGTTATGGACATCATTGGCTTCAATGCATTTGGCATACAGTGAGCCCTATATTACACACAAACAATGCAATCAACAAAACAATTCAATAAATCCAAACAATTAGAAAAGTTTGCAAAAACTTTTCTGAACTCAAAATGCATACAAACCTCAGCCAAACACTGACTGAACGCATAGGGAAAGTGCTGTGACAGCCGTCGGCCGGCGTTTGCCATACGGTTGGCCACCGCTGTGTTGCCGCCGACAGTCATCGA